AATGCACATGCCATGATAAGATGTACACATAAATATCCCTGTGTGGTCCACATCAAATTATATTGATCACCACACAGCATAAACTGCAGCTCCTCATCTTCTACTGAGTTTATCTCGCAAAAGGTATGTGGTTGTAGCTGTATAGCTTTTAAATAAATAGATTAGATGTAGCTTTTTATTTGCCACAAGTCAACAGTTATTTTACTTTTATGCACTTTGGATTTCTAACTTCTAGAAAAAAGATAGTTGTCATCATAGCAAAGTTGCCAATGTTCATTTCTTCAGTGTAATTCTGTTACTGACTCTTTTTTTTGTCTCAACCAGAACAATGGAAACCACAGTTTCAGTTCTGCTTTTGGCAAGCTCCTCCTGGGGACGAGCTCAGTTACAACCCATCGTAATTACGCATCTATGAAATTCTTTATCACAAAAACATTGCAGTCCTGGCTCCACTCAAAAATTTGTTTTTTTTCTTAATGTTTCTTACTCCAAGGTTTGGGACTCTTTATTTAGTTCAGCTTTAACTTAATATGGTCTTATATATTATTGGCCATTCCTTATGTTCTCTTTCAAAGCACCAAAGTCCTTTGACAAAAAAACAGGTGAAGGGTGAAAATATATCAGCGTTAATAATTTGTTCTGCTGCACAAAGGTATGCAAAAAAAAAATGTATTTTGGCAGGTTCAGTAATTGTACACACATTTTTTCCAAAATGCATTTATAATGTGTATTTCAACTCGCTCATTCATAGAAAATGTGGCCTTGCGTGGAAAAGCGTCCCAGTCAAGTGTGCATCAATTTCGATTTGCCAACATTGCTATTGATGGAAACCGCAACTATAACTACCCGGCTGGATCGTGCACCCACACTGATGAACAGACCAACCCCTGGTGGACAGTGGACCTGCTGGAGCCCTACATCGTCACCTCCATCATCATCACCAACAGAGGAGACTGCTGTGCAGAAAGGCTCGATGGGGCAGAGATTCACGTCGGCAACTCTTTACAAGATGGTGGCGTCACAAATCCAGTGTAAGTTAAATTAGTTATTAAATAAACACTAACTAACTAAAGTTTTCAAATGTGGCAGTGTCCAAGTGTTGTTATTATTTCTTTTTTTATATTACTATTTCATCTCTCTTTATCTCTTTTAGGGTTGGTGTAATTTCTCATATCCCAGCAGGCAGGTCTTTAAAAATGACTCTTACAGGACTTGTGGAGGGACGTTATGTAACGGTGGCTCTACTTGGTTCAAGAAAGATCATCACACTCTGTGAAGTGGAAGTCTACGGGTACCGTGCCCCAACTGGTGAGAATTTGTGCTATTAAATATGACGCTGAAGCTGCAGAAAGCATCAAGGAAAATTAGGTATCAGTGCTAATGTTTGCAACTGGGTCCATTGTGCAGGAGAGAACCTGGCGCTCCAAGGAAAAGCCACACAGTCGTCACTGTATTCTTATTTAGGCGATGCAAGTCATTCCATAGATGGGAATCGTGCCAGTTCCTGGGCCCAGGCTTCTTGTTCTCATACAGGCCCTGACTTTACACCCTGGTGGAGGTTGGATCTGGGCAAAACCCATAAAGTGTTTTCTGTCACAATAACCAACATCAAAGAGGCTTCCTCACGACTCAATGGAGCTGAGATCCGAATTGGAGATTCTCTTGAAAACAATGGCAACAGCAATCCCAGGTAGTGTACAGTTTTAGATTTAAATACTACAACTAAAAGGTTTGTTGTGAGTTAACAAAGTAATTTCTTCTTCTGCTAGGTGTGCTGTGATCTCAAGCATCACTGGAGGTTTCACTGAAACCTACCAGTGTAACGGGATGGATGGTCGCTACGTTAATATAGTCATTCCTGGAAGAACCGAGTACCTACACGTGTGTGAGGTGGAGGTTTATGGCTCCAGACTGGATTAGGTCTGAGGAGGTTCAACATTTCTTATGTTATTATCTCTGTTTAAATGTTCCAGTGAGTCATGAGACAGTTACAGTGAGCCAGCATACTGTCACATGTCAAAATGTGATGGCCATAACATCCATACTATAAAGTCATAAAGGAGAGTTTTGTGCTTCTATTGAATTCAGGAGAATTAGTCGATTTAATTTTTACAGTGGTAGTGACAATTATGTTGAGATTGATCTTTAATGAACTTTGTACTTTTGTATTTGTTTGGGTCTCATTAGGGCCCGAGCACAAATCGTGCAGAGGCCCTATTGTATCTCTAGGAATTCTTATTATTGTCTGCGTCTTCGACTGCATATTTGGAGGTCGCA